ATTTCATATTGTTACATTACTCGTTAGTATCGGTCCATTAACATTACGAGTATCAATACATGGTCTTGTCAGAAATGTATTACATTCATTATGTACATGTTCTCAACCATAATTTAGTGATGAAATTCAACGTGTATTTAGTTTATCATTAGCTGAATTTTTATTAGCAAAATTTTATGCTTTATTTGGTTTATCAAAAGTTAAATCAGCTAATGTGATTGCATTTCGTGCATAAGACAACAGCAACAACAACAACATTCAAATCAATTAAGCTCCCCCTCGGAAAATTCGATTTTCGTAAAAATGTTGATTTTTGAGATAAGCATACGTATGTGTCGCCTAAGGTGTCTACTTTAAATATCCATCAAAAAAATTTTCAATTTCGAAAGGTTTCGAAGAAATCTACTAAAAGTTTCTGAAATCCTCTATAGTGATATTCTTCAGCGAATCTAGGTAAAAATCGACGAGAAACGTGGACAGCTTTATTTGCTATTAGCTGCATGTGTTCTCAGGCACACAAACCAACGTGCCTTGATTAGTTTTCGCGATTGATATATGATGTGGCCATACTTTGTGTTGTTTTCAAATGATAAGTAAATAAAATGTCGAAAAAAAGTTTTTGCGTTTTTCTCAAAACCGATTTTGCACTTATGATCGAACTCCCGACAAACTTTTTTTCAATATACTTCACTCAAGCGAGCTGCAGTTTTTTTAATCGATAGATACATGAATACTCCTTCGGATGACGGAAATGGATTTTTTATTTAGTGCTCATTATTAGAGAAATCCCGAGTTTTCTAGAAAACCTTACCTGCGATTTTCAGATTTTTCAGGTTTTGAGGATCCCAAAATTGAAGAAAATAAAAATTAGAAAGACCCTTTTCCTCATCCCAAGCAGAAAAGAGTTCTCTTTCAAATGAAAGTAGCCCGAGCTTTGTAGCTTGAGGTATACTAAAAATAAGTTTGTACGCGTAAGAGCCCTATTTTGCCCTTTGTTCTCTAAAAATCTCCTGAACGGTAAGGTTCAAAGGCGTAAAATTTTTTTTATGAGTGTATTTCCATGGACCAAACATCTATAGAAAGTTTCATGAAAGTCCGATGCAGTACGTCGAAGTTTGATTTTTGAGGGGGAGCCCTTAATATCACCTGATAAACAACAACACCGATACCAATATCACCTGGACATTCAATGACAATTCCAAATGCATATTCACCAACAATTAAACAACCAGAGCGAGTGAGTTTAACGTTACTTGAAACAATAACAGATACATTATTACGTAGAATTAATAGAAGTTTGTATAAATGATATACCTCATTGTAAACGGTTAGCACATTGGCAAGAATTAGCTGTTGCATTTCAATTTAATCCAGATTTACAACTTAGAACTATGTAATAAACATTTTTAAAAAAATCTTTTTTTAAACTTCGTTTTTGTTTTCTTTTCAGTATTGTTTATGGTTGTATATCAAAAACAACAAGTGATCGTGAAATAAAAGCTTTATTACGTATACTTGTTAAAGCACTTGAATCATTTTCTCATATTGATTTAATTGATTCACTAATAATGTGTTTAACACGTTTATTATCATTATTATCTACAGAATATAAAATTCAGAAATTTAATGCGCTAGATTGCTTTATCAATACTTCAATTAGGACTTCAATTAAGAGAAAACCATTTAAATGGAAATTTAAACAACTACATGCAACCATGGCTTTATCATTTAAATCAAATTTTACTTTCGTGGCTGCTGATTATTTTATTAAAGGTAGAAATTCTTAAAACAATTTTCCATTAAGATCATATAATGAATATTGTTGATCAACATCATTTCTATTTCCTTCATGTGATTAAACATAAGTACATTCATCCTAATTATTATTTATTATTCCATCAATACAAAGGTAGTAAGGTATTTCACAAGCAACTAATTACCATTTATCGATTCGAATATCAATTCTTCAAATAATAAAGGATGATCCAAGAGCCTTGGTACCTTATAGAAAAATTTCTCTTTCTCTCTTATTACAAAATAAAAATGCTGAAAGTCGGATATATAATATTTTCTGACTAGATGAATATTATCCTACATTTCCATAACTCTAGTGCAAGCTATAAGGAAGATACATAAGCTAGAACTAAGAGAAGACTTTTTTCGCATGGTCGCATAAAGAAACAGGTGTTTTATGATGAATTGCCATATTTCTATCTTATTTTGCAATTTCTAATATATGTTATTAAAAAAAACAGAATACACTAAGATGCAGCGTGAAAAATTCTATAATCTAGAAAGTAAAGATCATTCTACTAGTGTGCTTTTTCTTTTCAAAAGCAAAGCAAAACTCAATTTAACCAATTTTCAACAATGCGAAGGACCATTTTTAGTACACGAATAACTCTTTTTCTTCGTAACATCAAAAATTGTTGAATTTTGCTTTTTTCGAAAAGCAAAAGCACACTAGTAGAATGATCTTTACTTTCTAGATTATAGAATTTTTCACGATGCATCTTATAGTGTATTCTGCTATTTTTTTTATAACACATCTTAGAAATTGGAAAATAAGATAGAAATATGGCAATTCATCATAAAACACCTGTTACTTTATGCGACCATGCGAAAAAAGTCTTCTCTTAGTTCTAGCTTATATATCTTCCTTATAGCTTGCACTAGAGTTATGGAAATGTAGGATAATATTCATCTAGTCAGAAAATATCATATATCCGACTTTCAGCATTTTTATTTTGTAATAAGAGAGAAAGAGAAAATTTTCTATATGGTACCAAGGCTTTTGGCTCACCCTTTATATAGTAGCCGTTGTGGGTCGATAAGAAACCTTCATAGAATAGACATCTATGGCATTTGGTTACCTACATATGATGGCTCTTGAAGTCCTGTGAGTAGGTGCATGTGATTGATCTGGGGAACTTTAAAGTTAAAGTTAAAATGCAACCCCTAGTGGTAACCTCGATATCTTCTGTGTCTTCATGGTATCCCAAAGAGCTGCAATCCGTTTTTTCCTCTTGGTTCGATTAGAGCCAATAGTTGAAATATGTTTGTCATAATTAGATGAACATAAGACGGATAAGAATATAATGGGATTAGTAAGTCCATTACATTTCTATGATAAAACATAGCATACAGCTTTACTAGGTATGCACCAGTTCCAGTTCAGAACTGGAGACTAGGTACCAGTCGGACCGGGTACCCCAGTCCGACTGATACCCAGTTAACTGAAACTGGTGCGTACCTAATCTTTAAATCATCATCATTAACTTGTCTTAATGAAAATTTATTTTGATCAAGCTCAAGTGTTAAATATGGGTTAGAAAAATTTCAGAATAATTTTGTTATTTTAGAGTCAATTCGTTCACCATCAGATTGCCTTGCAGAGTTCTCTTCATTTAAATGTTCTTAATAGATCAAAATTATCTAACTGGCAAAACGGAAATTGTGAACCATGACGTATTACACAAAAAGAAAATCGTATTTAAATATTTTATTTCCAGTACACCTCAAAACTCTGGCTCCTCCTTTTTGTTTTGATTTGTAAATTAAAATTACATTGTATTGATTTTCCGTTATATCCGAGTAACACTGGATCTCTCCTATACAGGCATATAAAGAATAAAATTAGTGTCATATAGTTTTGAATATGCCATTGAAAACAAAAGTGTGGGGTCAGACTTTTGAGATGCATTGTATTTTTCTAAATGTAATATTTTAGTGTTAAAATATTCTATCAAGAAAATGTTAGTCGAAATTCTATTTCTAAATTAGAATGTTCAATAATAAGATTTGATATATTTCTAGTAGTTATCTGCATAATCTTTATTAGAATAATAATCTATATAAAACTAGAGATAGAAAAAGAACGATATTATTTCGATGTAATGAAGTCCAAGAAAGTTTTTTAAATCAATCTGAATAAAATCGAAAATATAGTTGAAATTAATTTTTCGAATTTGATCAATAATTAACCTTGTTTAATATTTGAAATAATATAGAATATATTTATTTATATAAGAAGATTAAATCCAAATATATAATCTGTCTAAGTGAGGAAATCTAATTTGAATATCTTTAGAATGAAATAATCGACCATTATCAATTTCTATTAATCTTTCTTTAAAGATAATTTTGTTGGCGTCTTTAGATTTATGAAAGTCTTTTTTATTTAATGTTAAATAAACTAGTTGATCAAATCGATGAATAATTTTGAAAATAAACTGGAGAAGATTTTCATTGAAGATAAGACATGCACGACTTATTTCAAGACAACATAGATTAGGTGCTAATTCATTTAATCGATTGATATCAAAAGGTTCTTTAGCTTGACGACATAATCGATCTAATAAGAGATGCACATGTTGAAGATTTGAATATCTTTGAGAACAATGACGAAAATCATTCCACTCAATTTCAACATGCGAAAGATTTGGCGACGAATCAAGTATTTGTTTCACTATATAAACACGTTCTGCTTCTTTTATTCGGTCTGTTTTGGATTTAAAAGTCATGGATCGTAGATGATTAAGCAACAAATAACAACTAGAAGGATAATTTGATATCATCGGAACATTTACCTAAATAAAAATCAGCATTTTATATATGAATTTTTTTATGTTTTAGGCATTCTTTATCACTTGAATAAATAAATCCTTTATACACTTTTTCAATATTGATATTCTTTCAGAACTTATTATTAAATGACATTTTTCCAGAGATCCAATGAAGATAATGAAATAGTATACTCATTAATTAGATATTCATCAAAAGAAAATTTATCTGATCTTCTCAAAGCTGAACGATTTAACTTTGACTAACAGTTCAATGTAATAATAGCAAGAGAAGTCCGCGGACATGTACCACTTTTATAGAAATTTCTTTTTTTCAGCAATCATATGTCTGATTATCAGAGGTGTTTACAGAATAGGATAAAAAAATATTTTTACTTTGTCGTACTCTAGAACATAGTAGCGTCGGGTATGGTACTGATGTCATACAAATTTGAAAATCAGTGTTTCGAATTTTTATACTAAAAAAGAACGTTTTTGGAGTCTTTAAGAATCAAACATAGAAATAGACTGTAGAACAGTACCAACTGCTTTTCAGAGTTTTCCTCTAATATCTACATCATTAAATGCAAAAAGAATAAATTTTCAACACGATAAATTAAAAAACATTTTATTATTACAATCGGTAGAAAAACATTTATAGAAATAAATAAAGTATTCGTTTTCTTTTGGTTTTTTTCCGAAGAAGAAACAACTAAGACTTCGACTGTGAAGTCCACTAAAGTCTCACGAAGTCGAAGTCTTCAAGTCCGCTGTTTTCCCTCCCTCGATTTTTTCTCACTGATGGTAGTTATCTTATTTTTGTGTACTCAAAAAGTGAGTACACTATATAACCAATCAGTGTGTCCGGCCGACCGTTTACACGATAACTCTTGAAAATTTATTCCTCATCTTCATGAAATTTTGTGCATAGAACTGTCTCATCGATATCTTCGTCGAGTTCGAAGATGGGAATGATTGACCGAGACCTTCCTGAATTATAGCAAAAAATGTGATAATTCCCTGTACTTTCCTATTGGAACATTGACCTATCATAGGTTCCATTAAAAAATTGTTTCTTTTATAATCAAGTAAAACTTCAACTATTATATACCATTCGATAGGAAATTTAACGGACAACAAACTGACGAGTGAACATCATCCATTTGACTCAGTATACAATTATATTTCTGTTAACCATTCGTTCAGACATCTTTTCGTAGAAAATTTCAGGTGCTACAAAGGACTCTATAAAACATTAAGGGGACCAGGCCCCACGATGTGGCGGAGCTAGCCTCGGGCATTTTTTAAGCGTGTCTGCGAAATTTAATTTTATGGCTGCAGTCGACTGGTCACGTGATAATATCAGCGGTGAAAAATTTTTGTCTTGAGACAATTTTTCCGAAGATTTTACTTAGTCCTGGAGGGGGGTAGAGGTATCTTTGTCGCGCTACCGCCCCCCCCCTCGGTCGTCACTATTAATGAAAAATTGGGAAGTTCCCAACTGGCAAAAGAAAAAAACCTTTATCCCCCGCCACTCTCAAAAACAATCGAGAGCCTTGAAGGGGACCCCCATCCCCCTAGTGGTATAACCAGAAAATAGTTCTAGAGAGGATCCAGCTCTTCCTCGACTCCTGGTAGAAGACTCGAATCTTCTCTAGAAAGAGGCTCAAAGTTTCGTAGGCGGGGACGGGGAGAAGAGGGGTATCTCAAGCCTTCATCGGGGAGGGGGACTGAGGCACTCTGGTTACGCCTATCCCCTGCCACAACCCCACTGTTTTTGGTTTCTGCTCTTTTTTCACTCTCTCCTATCTACTGAGCATATTTCGAGAATTACAATCTGTCTTTCAATGTTGTAAAAGCTTGGAAAGAACGAAAATTTCTATCAGAAAACACAAAACTCAATTTTGTTTTTCATTTTTTCTCAAAATGACCTTTTGAAGAAAAAAAATCTAAATTTTCTCGTTTTTTTTCTAGACAGTTGGATGAAAATCAATCTGTCGTCGATTATTTTTTACTTTTTGAAGTACACATAACACTCGGATTTAAATTCGAGGTTTTCACATTTATTTATTGTTCTTTTTGATGCATAGTGTTTTTCAAATGAAGTTCTACAGTAAATCTCATGAATCTAAGTTGTGTATACTATATCAGTTATGTGTCTTCTCTTTTGTTAATATTCGTGTATTTAGGTAGTTAACCTATGATTTGCAATTATTCGAAAATGGATTTCGATACAGAAGAGAAATATCCCGCTTTTCGGCTACCTTTCAGTAGAGAGTGCTGTCCGATATCTTTTCCTATAACTATAACGAGCTTTAGCTCTGGACGAATGGTCGGCCTAACTCAGAGCTCTCCCATTCAGTCACTTGATCTCATAGTGTACACTGACTAACCACAAGAATCTGTATATGTCACAACGTAGTCAGTATACTATCGAACGGGTGATTCTAGACAAACATCCGTTAGTAATTTGTCTAGGATCATTCCATATCTCGTGGTACCGAGGCTCGAACAGGGTACGGTGGTACTACATGCTGAACAACTTACTCAGTCAGTCATAGGGACTGCTGGATTAAGGTAAAACAATGATCTGTGTTCGAATATTAAAATAGCTTTCGAAAATTCCTTTTTTTAGAGTAGTGCATCAGTTCAGCAGAATACACTGCCCTGTTCTACTCGGTCGATTCAATAAATTAGGACAGGACAGAGTAAGGTGCAAAAAGATCACTTTGTAGACACCTTTAATAACTAGACTAACGAAATCAAAAAAAAATGTTTTTTTTTCTCACAACGTGGTAGAAACCTACGGTCTTATCCAGCATTACTTTTTAACCTTTTCAGAAAGTACATCAATTTAAAACAGTCAACAGTTGTTTTTTTTTTGACTTTTATATCATATAGACAATTTGAATAAACAGTACTTTGCATGATTAAGTTCTATCGTTGACGTATTTAATTACATAAAATAAGTTTAATACTTCATTTCTCACTCTAAGTGATTCTAATATGAGATTTATTAGTTTTTTTTTTATAAGTTTTCATTTGAACAGTACATTCTCATTTTTATTCCAAATTTCCTTTTTGTTAAACTTTAGTTCCCTCCTGTTGATTAACCAATCAAACATCTGACATTGGTTAAAAGTTTATCAAATAATTTTGTCCGAAATCAAAATGAAAACAATTTGATAAATTTTTACAATTTAACTAAAAACTGAAAAGATGAAAGAAAAAAAAATTTTCAATTCCCTTTCAATATAACTATAATAACAAATATTGTCTTTAGTTTAGAAGTTGATATACTTACCAAATCATCTCGATATATCAACTCGAGTTTGTTCACGTGGCTGCTTCCAACTATTTGCAAAGTTTTGACTAACTGATCAGGATTGTCCATTTCATTGCAAGTCAGTTGTAGTGATCGTCGTCGATTTGTAATTATCGGCATATATGCATGTCTTGCAAAACGATGATTATGTAAAGTTCGCTTGTGTTCTAATAGAATATTGATCGGACGTGTATAGATAATGAATTGACTTCTTTTGACAAAAGATACTCCATCATCGTCCAAAAACAAAGTATCATCTACATAATAATCGATATTGTCAAAAGGCCATTCACCATTGGAACTGAATGGACTTATTCGCCATGCCTCTTCAATCTCTTTGGGAAAACAAAATGAAAAATAGAGATTTTTTAGAGAGGGCAAATGTTGAGAATCACAGACTTGTTGAAATCTACTAAGATGATCTAATGCTGCAAAAAAAAAAAGAAAAATGAATATTTTCATCTTGGAAAAATATATTCAAAGTAAATGCGTTCAGTTTTGTTAAAATATTTCCAGTGAATGAGAACATATGTTTCATTGCTGCAAATATCAATAAAATATTTGTGCAAATCTCTCATCAAGATTGTTCAAATCTAAATTTCATTTGATGATCTATTCTATCATATCAAATGAAATTTAATAATAATAGTCGAAGTGAAAAATCTAAATTGCTTTAAGTTAATGATAACTTACTATGATCATATAAATCAATCAGTATGAATTTTTCAAGTAAAGACATAGTTAATGAATTCATTAATATAATAAGATCATTGAGATATATATAACGTAAAAATAATGATTTTAATCGAGTGCCATCAACTATTTCATGTAATTGATTTTTATCAAATGAAATATTTGATATTGATTTATTTTTATGTTCTGGCAAAATAATACACATTCCCTCATTAGTAATATTTAAATGTTCAATTGACGGCAAAGCACCCTTCCGTAAAAAAAACATTATTTCATTTGAATATCTAATACTTAAACTTAATTCTATTGTATTTGGCCAGCATAATCGTTTCATATTTATATTTTCTATTAAATCATTTGAATAAAATTCATAACCTATAGAATAAATAAATCTAATAAGAATATAGCAAAAAAATCTATCATCTTAGCTAACCGCATATTATCAACCAGAACAAGCACGTCTCACGATGTAGGACGCGGATAGGGAGTCCTAGCGACTAATCAAGGCTCTCCATGCTCTTCAGGAGTGAGAAGGCCTAAAATTTTCCGACAGTCTTACGCAAATAGTCTGGTAGCAAAAATCCGTCTATAAGATTTTGGTAGACAACTCTTGGATAGATATTCAACACTGTCGCAGACACCCCATGAAAAGTGCCGGGAACTAGCACTCATCCGTCACATCGACAGGGATGTCCCAACATTTTTTACGTCGTGCCTAATAAAGTGTTGGAGATCTATCCAAAAACTATCTGCCAAATTCTAGTAGACAGCTTTTTCCCTACCACTGTCTGCCAATTTTTGAGCCCTCCGACTTCTAAAAATCATCGAGAGCCTTGAGAACAAATCCGTTTCTTTTCATATCTCATAAACAAAATTCTAATGGATGAATTCGCCGAATTTCTACCACTTTTCTAGTTAGACGCATCATTGCTGAAAACGGTCTGAGGTAACAATTAAAATCTTTTTAGGCATATAAAATATGGAGATCGAGATCATTTTTTAGGAAGATTTCACACATGTAAAGGCTGTTCAATAAATACCTTACTCTTAAATCGTTAATCATTTTTTTCATACTTTTCTGTGGTATAAAGATCTGAAATTTTTCTTACATATATATCTAATCAAAATCTTTTACTTCTCAAAATTTCAGCTCTCTAAATAGGACTCGTGGTGAAATACGTCGACAAGACTGACATACATTCATTTTCATAACTCATTGTGTATAATTTTTTCTAAGACACTATTGCAAAAATCGACTATAAAATCGAGGTATTTCACCATTAGTTCCAGAAAGAGAGCTGAAACTTGCAGCTTTCGACATCAAGAAAAATTATGAATAACATCCTTGGAATTTCTCATTGGTTGCTATAGAATACTCTTTAATTATGTATTATGTTCCTAAAAAATGATCACGATCTTCACACGATGTGTTCAACAAGGTTTTAATTCTTATCTCAGACTGTTTTCACCGATGATACGTCTAACTAAACTATTAAAGTCGAAAAAACAAACTTTCTTCCAGAACATTGACGCAGTTTCAATAAAGTGGTAGAAAGCTGGCGAATTCATCCAATATCATAACACAGAAATAATGATTAATCATCTATTACAAAATGTTTCACTCTAAACAGTTAAAGTATAACAGAAATTATTAATAATAAATAAACGGAAAAGTTTCGTATGAGATAAAGTCATATCTTGTTTGTTAAATTAAGTATGGAACTATAAACTTATCTGTTGAACAAGAATTTCTTTCGAGCTAACTACAAATATGTCAAATAGAAAACAAAATGAGATTTTACCTTTGCAAGTTAAAACATTTTCCATGTTGCAAATAGAGGTCAGTAAAAATATAGAATAAATTATTTCATTATAGTTTCTCTCTTAACTCTAGAGAAAATTCACATATTCAAAATTGATACACATTTTCATATACAGTAAAAGCTCTATAGTGGATACCTATTGGACTTTTCAAACTGTCCACAAACGAGGGGTTATATATCTTCAAAGAGGAAAAGTTCTTCGAAGAAGCAAAAATATTTCTACGTATCTAAAAGATTAGTGAATAATATAATGGTCAAGAAAACGTTATCATTTCTATTTTTATCTTCGTTTAAGCATTCAAACAAAAAAATCAAGACTTGTCATAATCTTTCGTTCAATCCTATTTGTTCACTTTTCTGAATGCATTCATTTAATAATTTTCTTTAAGCTGAAAGAGTCGGAAAATTTTCTGCAATGAAGAACGATAACGACACAACCTTTGACAAATCGTATTTGTTTGTCACTTTTTATATCAACTAACTACAGCCATTTTGTTTCTTTTATCAATGAAAATTTCTTTTCCTATGTTCACTCTTGTCAGTTTGGACACTATGCTGTCTGTCTCTTTTCATGGTAGGAAAATCACACGACAACAACAATGTCTTTATATCTCTCTCGCCAATCGAGCATAGCAGATATGATTTTTTTTCTGTAATTTGCATGATTAATTCATTAAGAAAAATCATTATTATAGATGTTCAATAGTAGCCCTCGTGACATTTTTGTCCAATTGCGAACGTCGTATCCACTGTAGATGTTTCTCTATAACAAAATTTCAGAATCACATTTGGAACATTGAAATATTGTATTGACTTTTAAAGGCAAGAAATTCTACTTAGGTCATACAAAAAAGTAGTGGCCCCCGCATCTTAATTTCGTACAGACTGCTTGGAAAAATTCATTTTTTATGAACATATAGTCTTTTGCTCTATCTTTCTATGCTATTTGATCACTATTCAACTAATATAGTAATAATAAAATTTCGATAAGATCTGTTCATTTCGCACGTATTCTGACTGTGAGAAAGAGAAGAGGAAGACACATCGAACCGCATATTACTGATTTTTCTAAGGTTTTCAGTTAACCTTTTAACGAACAAACCTATTCCGTGAGTTGTTTACAGTGAATATTCAATAATCAGGTTTACATTCAAACCGCTAATCGAAGATCTACAAACTGCGAAAGACCCAGATGTTTAAATTTAATTATTTAGAGATAATACATATTCTAAGTACGATTTTCTATCAACTTTTTTGCTTTTTCTTTTTTTCATACAAAAAAAAACATTTTTTCAACGGTTAGAAAATTGAATAAAAAAACTTCAGAAATCGTATTATAAAAATCAGTAATATACAGTTCGATGCGTCTTCATTTCCTCGTTCCAACGGTGAAAAGCGCAGTTCTCTATCTTGTTGTTATCAAACGTACTTACGAGCATTGATGCTAACATCAAAAATGCGAAAGAAACAAATCTTATCGAAATTTTATTATTATTATATTAGTTGAATAGTGATCAAATAGAATAGAAAGATAGACTAAGTAATTTCTAAATTCTAATAAGCATCTTACTTTCTATTTCACATCTTGAAGATCAATATCTTTCTGACTCGTTTTATATTAAGCATATCGTAACTGATGAATGCTTTCTAATTGTCAACCGTATTAATTGATGAATACAATCTAAGTCTAAAGATAATTTCAAATCTCTTAATAAAAATTCGTTGATAATATCTTATATAATCAAATGATATTATTGTAACTATAAGACAGTCACTGATCTGGATTTTGTTATTGAAAAATATATTTTCTGGCATACCTTTTTCAACTTCTAATATTATAGTATGAATTGAAATACGGGAAGAAATGAGCCAAGAAAGTGTTGAAAAGTATGAAGAGGTAGGCCTGTCAAATACGAGATGTAAACGTTGTAATGTATTCTTATGAAATGCTAAAGAGGTTAACAATGGTTCAATCGATTCATATGAATAATTTTCTGCATTGAATATAACAAGTTGCTTTATTGATGGTAAAATCATCTTTACGAATAGTTGGTTATCATTTAAACTTTTTTCCAAGTAGTTAAGTAACATCAAGCAAGCTGCTGGTGTGCTACGAAGTACAAGAGTATCTATCAAAGCAGTAAAACGCTTTGTAGTATCATTATTAATATTGCTAAGAAATTGGTACAATTGATCATGATGCATTGAACTAACATCTAACGAATGACGTATGGATGTAAGAAGATGTTCAATTCTACTATTTTTTACATAAAGAAAGGCTTGACATAAATGAAATGAAGATAAATAACGAAATATAATGAGTAAAATTTCATTGGGTAATGATTCGAATGTGCTTTTGTTCATTCTTGTATTATTGAACTGACCTGTATAGATGCATTTCCTTTGAATATATGTTGTTCGTATATATGTACTAGCGGAGGTACCCGATGTATGGAGATGATACGATAGCATATATCTCACGGATGATAATACAATGTTGCCACAGTCCTCAACAGCTATTCATCTGCAATATCATAAGCTACACTCGAATCTTTTCTTTTTTAATTTTAATATTCAACACATTAAAGCCGTTATAGACTTTTTTCCTTTTTATATTTTTATTGATGAACTTCTTTCAAGCAAAAAAACAGTAAAATAGAAGTTTTCATTGTAAAGCTGTTTTGTACAAGATGTTCTTCGTTTTTCCATCTGGAGCAAAAACATATAAATTCTCTCCAGTTCCTACTCTCGAGCATGCCACATAAAGTTGACCATGAGAAAAGCAAGGAGTTTCTAAATTGACACCAGCAACTTTAAGTGATTGCCCTTGAGCCTTATTAATAGACATTGCGAAGGCAAGCCGTACTGGAAACTGAAGTCGTGTAAATTCGAATGGTATATCAGAAGGGAGCAAAGGTATTTTTGGTATGAATACATCTTCACCTTTTGCACAACCTGTCATGATCGTTGCTTCGATTACATGAGGCATTAGAGTTTTGACACATAGCCTTGTACCATTACATAATCTTGGTGCATCCAGATTTCTTAGGAGCATAATAGATGATCCAATTTTCAGACGCAAGTTATGTGGTGGCATTCCAGAAGGTTCGAGTGAATTGAGAAACTCAGTTGGATACTGAACTACCATGTCGATATCTTTAACTGTATCAATTGATTTGTAAGATATAGCTTCACCAGGAAGTTGTTGCTGTATTTGTAGATTGATAGCATTTACATTGACGTTTTTCGGAGCCAGAATAGCACGTTCACATAACCATTTGTGATCCTTGTACTGAGTTTGAATGTTTGGAAACACTTTATTCTTGAGTTCTTCGACTGATTCAACGATATTGCAAAAGTTGTCTGAAATATTAATAAGTCCACTGACTGGGTCAGCAGGTATTTTGCCATTTCCAATTGCGAGAAGTTGTTCAGCGAAACGGCCGGCAGATACGTCACCTCGTAAGTGCACTCTCATGTTAGTACTGAGTTTTAATGGTACAACATGTCTCCAAAGATACGAAGATTTCAAGCAAGCTTTTAGCTCATCAGCCATGGTACCCTTTGGAATAACTGGTAATGTTTGCCTAAAATCGCCAGCAATAAGTACAACTACTCCACCCATATTCTTTCCATTGTTACGAAGATCTTGTAAAGTATGGTTCAAAGCTTCTAATGCATACCTATGAGCCATTGTGCACTCGTCCCATACAATAAGTTCACATTCTTGCAGAACCTTTGCTTCGCCAGTTCCTTTGGTAATACTACAGACATGAGTTTGATTTTCCAAAAACTTAAGAGGTAACTTTAATGTCGAGTGCGCAGTACGACCACCGTGAAGCAGCGTAGCAGCGATACCGGAAGAGGCGACCGCAATCGCAATCTTTGACTGATGCCGGATTTTAGCCAATAACAAATTAATGACAAATGTCTTCCCTGTTCCACCAGGTGCATCAAGGAAGATTATTCCACCAGCTTTCTTCTCGATCTGATCCAAAATCGCATTGTATGCAGCTCTCTGATCCGGCACCAACAGTGGCTCATTTGCTGTTATATAAGCATCCAACTCTTTCACATCATAACTTGTTTCTCTGAGCATTGCACTGTTTAATCGATCACCCGAATTTCGTTGAGGAGTTGGGAGCTCTAATTTCTCAAGTTCTTTGCCACCCATCTCTAAAACTTTATTTTCAATAATAATCAGTGCTTGATTAAACATATCTGGTGTATAATCCAAATTCATTCCAGGATTTTGCCTGCGAGCATTTCTCAGAATGTCTTCAGTCAAGCTTTCTTTGTACGACTCCCATAATTGTTTTGGATTGGATGGTCCACAAACAGCTAGTATAAGAGCAAATAGATTTCTTAATCTTGCTGGCGATTGAGCTGCAGCTGCTTCGGACATGGTGGCATCCCATTGCTGATCATCTTCCAGTAATCCATGTAATTGACACGCTTCACGAAATGTTGCACAGATCTGACCGTTTACAGTTCGAAGAGCTTCAAATGAAGTAGGGCCTCTGACCACATGAAGTAAGAGTCGTAGGAAAAAGCATTCGAAATTATTAGGATGCACAGTGTAAACACGACCCAATGCATCTCCTTCTCTAATGTCTGGATAGCCAAGCACAGCAGTTCCTTGAACACGTCGCTTAAACACTTTTTCAGACGCGTTCCATGTGTAGTATTTTGGAATATCACAGTACAACAGCGTTTTGGCAAAGTCGTCTTTCTGGCAGAGTAAGAAAAATGCTGTTAGTGTTGTTCTTGGTGGTTCATTAACTTTCTCATGAACATTATCTTCGGTGAAATAAATGCGTTGACCATTTTCCAAATGAACAGCCAAATGAACAACGGTTGGATATCGTTCGTGAATTGGAAAATCCAAGATTCGCTAGACTGCTTCATTGCTACTGATGTATCTACCTAACTGGTAGTTACTAATTTCATCAACTGGTGCTCCATCTCTTCCCAAACCGAACACTGCCTGATCACTGCCCTTGTTGACATATTTGCATATGTATTTGATTGATTTTACCGAGTTGCAATATTCCACATTAATGTGGGCTTGAAAGATCCGAGAGAGTAGTGGACAATATGGCACAACCCACTTGTTGTCAATTTCGATTTCTTGAATGGAGTTATTAATTCTCATTTTGATTTTGGCTTTGATACCACCATCTTCTGAACTTCTTCTTCTATACGATGGATATCCATCGTCACCGGTTTCTGTATCATGCAAGAGTTGTTTTGGATATCTTTTTGTACACTTTTTGTTTTCCATACACGGAGAGTTTGGATTGATACTTCCACATGGACCGTGAATCATATTCTTGATAATTATTTCAAATAGTCGAGGATCTCGTTCAGGATCAGGTAGTTCTGCGCTGATCACGCTATCTATTTGATCCGCTTTAATTTTGTTCTTAAACCATATCAAAATATGGGCATGTGGTAGTCCTCTCTTTTGCCATTCAATAGAATACATCCAGCATCTTGTTGGCCCAAATACATGGCTTTTGGTAATAATGTTGACCAATTTAATGAGCTTTTGTCTGAACACTCTTGCTAATAGGTCATGACGATCAGAGGGAGCTTGACCTTCCATTAATTCTGCTTGAATTTCTTGCCACTTAGGATTGCAGGTGAATGTTATAAAGAGGTCGGGTCTTCCGTGGTTTCTTACATAAGTCATGGCGTCTTGTGTATATTCATGCATGTGCCGGGGACTTCCAGTGAAAGTTGCTGGTAGAATCACTAATTGACCAAGATTGTCAGCTCGTCCATCATTGGCTATAGCATCTTTCAGGTGAATGTATTCATCCACTCTAAGCTTTTTTTGATTATAACGTAGAAAAGATAATCTTTCACTTTCGATCTTAGCGTACATGTCAACCACATACTGATGGAAAAGTTGTCGGCACTGTAAGATATGATTGACAGCACCAGTTCGTACCATAATTCTGTAAGCATAAAAACTCATAGCCGATACTTTTTTGCCAGTGACAGCCATTCCAGTTGTTGGATCAGTCTGTTCGATAAGAAAATGGTAGCCATCCTCACCTTTCCAAAAGATGAGAGGATATTGCAAGGTATCATACGACCTATGTGTCTCAGATACTCTCTGTAACTGGCCATTTTTCTGCTCCAAGACAATATCTCGTTTCTCGAAGTCGTTGCCAGCGATGACAACCTCCACCTCATTTGTCACTGGCTCATTGAAACGACGTGCATGCTCTCCAACAGGTTTCATGTCTGCTCGAATAAGCACCTTGTATTGATCTGTTGGCATTCTTTGAAGGGCAGTCTTGAAAAGATCAACATAAATGTGGTGCTCATGAACCATTTGCTGCAGTTTCTCGACAATGTCTTGACGTACGCCAGGCATGTTTTTGCAACGTTGTTGTACTTCTTTTCGATCGTCGCCCATGAAGTAAATTTGAAGAAATTTATGTTCTTCATTCGAAGGCGGCAGCAGAGATCCTACGCGATGATATACTTGACCCTGAACTCTGAAAGTAGGCATGAAGCCTGGGTCAGCCACTTTCTCTGACGTGCCAAAAGATGTCATTTGAAAGCAGGAATTGTATTTTCTAATGTTGTCCAAGAAATGCTTCGATTCAGGCGTTGTTCCTGACATTAATTATTTCAGTGGTTCAGGAGGAGGCTGAAGTTCAGGTAACTTTACTTTACCACCAGAACAGCACATACCTCGTGTTTCTGCATGCCACTTGAGGGCATTACAGTATGGACAAACATCGCTTATTTGTCCAATATAAAGTTGAGGATGGCTGTCATAGTTGTTGGCTGGATCATACCGAAACGCTTCCCCTTCCATAAATGTCCGTTGCGCTGCCCTTGAGGCTGCTTGTCGTCTACGCTGATCTTCACTTCGAGTCCGTCTCTGTATGGAATCCTCAGCTGCTCTTGAAGCTGCATGTCTGGCTCGATCCTCCTCTCGTCGATCTTGTCCCCCTTCTAAAGATTCAGCTGCTCTTGTTGCTGCCATTCTTCTTGCAGCTGATGTACTTCTTCCCAAAGAGGCTCTTTTTTTACTGGCATCACGTAATATTTTTATCTAAATAAGAAATATAGAAAATAGAAAATACTCCGAAGAGAATGAATTTGCAATCTTACCTTTTGAATTTACTGTTGATATCACGATCGAAAAATATTTGATAACCTGGACGCTTATAATTTTTATATGGAATATTGAACACTTACTCGTTTTTGGACAATTATGTTCAGTGATAGAATAGAATATTGTTTTTATTAAAAGCGTTGAAGAATAAGAAACACTATAGTGAATTTAGTTTTATTAATGAAAAACAAAAGAAAAAGATACCTATTTATATAGATGCAAATCAATAGCATATTTCTATATCATCATCATCATTTAAGATGACGTAAACATTCCAATGACGATATAAAATATGATATATGAGGAGAAATGTTATACATGGCATCATACACAACAAATGACAAAGAAATGAAGTCATATGTATTCAAGAATGTAATACAGCTGATTATTGAGTAAAATTGTATAAATAGTATATATAGATACCGTTAATACGTCATATTTCTGAGTCATGAAAAAGAACAAAGACGTTATCTTTGAGCGTCAGAAAAAATGCATGCGTCATTGTTGTAAGTAAAATAAACACAAACACATTTCTTTATGTATATAGATGAGCGCTCAGACGGCCTTCGGCCGCCTTCGCTATCAATTATTTTAATTTTTTGGAATGCTGCAATCCTATTGGTCAGTTTTCTAGATTGCCTGTAGCAAGCACAGGATTGGCATAGATAGATGGAACATGTGAAATGTTGTATATGAGCGCTCAGACGGCCTTCGGCTGCCTTCGCTACCAATTATTTTAATTTTTTGGAATGCTGTAATCCTATTGGTCAGTTTTCTAGGTTGCCTGTAGCATGCGTAGGATTCGTTTTTTTTCGGAAAAAAATACATGTCGACCTTTCCCTAGGTGTAAAGACCATTTCTGGAAAGTTTCATAGCATTTGCTCGTACCGTGTCCAAATGCATGAAGAACAAACAGACAAACATTCTTCTTTATATATATAGATGGACGGACATTGTTATGTATGTTACGTCTGATGAGTGTGTTCATCTTTTTTTATTGGATGAACAACATTTAGAAAAAAATCAAAGTTAAATCAAAAGAATATTTGACGATATTTTTATGATTATATAAAATCTTGCTTATAGATATTAAATATTATTTTCTTTTTCATATTTTTACATATGTAATTGTTTGAAAAAATCTCTTTATTGTACTTTCGTTATTTGAATGATCAATAAATCAATGTTATGCCCACAAATAATTGTGCGCGTTACGTACAGTATGAGCTGCAGCGCATTTGCATGAGCAGCTAGTTTACCCAAGATCGCATTTATGTATGGCGTAGTTTTTCTGTATACCACTTTATTAATACAAGTAACGCAACACAAACGTCGCTGATCCTTTACTGAAAAGATGTAATGCTATTGAACATATCACATTCGCCCAACTATGAGACCTAGCATTGCCATATAAACTTGAAAGAACAAAATTAAAGTTAGAGTATATGGACATATATGCATATGATCAAGTTCCTAAAAAATCCAAGAAGTACAGACTAGTCATAACGAAGAAGCTTCACATATAGGCCGAGCAGAAATTCTCTACCGGTCCATACAGAGCATTGATAGTTACTTGCTGTTAGTAAGAGCGAAGCAGCTAATGTGATTGATAGGAAACTTCTCTATTCACGTTTTTGTAACGTTGTTCAGCGGCACTTGTTTGTCTTGAGGATGTGAGTAACCGTTCTAGTAGGCATCCACCCTCACACTCTATTCTTACAGAAAAAATTACTTTTAAAAAGTAATCACAGATTCTTATAGAGCTTGGAATTCTCTATCATCCTGTATATTTGTTAACTATTTTGTAGTTATACTCTGGAGAATAATTCGAATATGACGTCGACACGCTCGCTGACAAGTTCTACAAAAAAATAGTTTTTTTACTTCATATCTCGTTTTTTGTTTCAAAAGTACACGATGATAGAGAATTTCAATCTCTATCAGAATCTATAATTACTTTTTTCAAAAGATAATTCTATAGTGATGAAAACTTTAAACACTAATTTTAGTAACAATGAAAAAATCAAGTCGGTGGGACTCTGCACATGATGGTGTCTTCATTACACTCAATTTTGTTTTGGTAATACATGTCTTCAAACGAAAAGGCAAGTATACAGGCTGATAGAAACCTCCACGCACTTTCAGAATATCTCATTATTTTTTGAAAAATATGCTGCTATGATGACGATATCCTCAAAATACGGACTACAGCTTTTTTCTTCAGGCATATATTCCATTGTGTATAAATGTTTTTTGAACAGCTGTTTCACAGAAACATTGTTCCTGATTTTTGTTTCGTTAAAGGACAACTAGTCTAGCTCAGGACTGTAAATACTCGAAACTTCGAGTCAAAATTCAAATATTTGTTTGTCCAAACAGTTCGAAGCATGCAGAAGCTTCTTAAAAGAAAACACAAAATTCGGCAGTTTTCTCAAACCTCATGACGAACTCATATAATTCAAGGACTCTTATCAAAACGCTGCGAAGTATCTTTACAAAAAAAAACTATTGAATTCAGAAAGTGAAATCTGATGAGATTTTCTAGTTCGTCGTTTCTCGAACAATCGCTGTTACATCTTACATGGAAGAGTTCGTGATCGTGAATATCTCAGTCGAGATTATGAGGAAGAAAAGGAAAATTCAATTATCCTACCCTATGTGATATCTTGAATGTGTGAGTATTGGCGTGAATCTAGCTGGATTTACTACTCAGCTGAATTGACATCCACACTCACACCTTATATCACCAAACAGTCTTGATGAAGATTTATTTATCATCTGTAAATAGTTCTACTATTGTAGCGTGTTGTTGAAAACCAAATGAGCCACAGGCTTATAGCTATGAGTAAAAAATGTTTGTACGTTATTCTGTGATATAGTGAAAAAAACTAGATCATTTCATTGAAGCACAGTAAAGATATTCTGATCAAGTTTATTTTTATCCGAAAATGCAATCTTGCCTGTGACATACTCATATAAAATAATAAAATAAGTAGATAAAAATACTTCTAATTATCGTCTTTCATCAATATTTTATTGAACATCCGATTGTTTGCAACAGTGTTTTATCCAGGTTTTTCACTTCGGGAGGGTGAATTTAGTTGTCGAGAGGGCAGACAAAAGATTTTTAAGAGACGAACTCTCATGAGTGATATCGAGTGTATTATATTGTCCCTTTCAAAAGATCTGTGTTTTGTAAGTTATATAAAAATTATTTGTTTCATTTATTGGAAACAAGCATAGAATATACAAAGAGCTAGTAAGCAGTAAATATACCACAAGAAAAAAAACAAGTCATATCACTGAAAGACAAGAGATTCTTGATGCTATTTCTTCAATTTTCAATTGTTTGAATTAAATTTTTTTTAATGAAACGAGTTCTCAGTTCATTCTCTACAAAAATGTATATAACGTTTTATTCTAGTGCCTAAGTATCCTTTCTAGCCAATAGAGCATTTGGCGAATTGTTGTTATATGTCCTGCCGCAGAATAGAAATATGTACTAAAGAAATAAAACTTACCTGTACGAAAGTTAAAGCCATGAATAATACTTTTGGAGGCCATTTAGAAAGAATTTTTTGCCAATTTCAAAATATCTTATTGTGTTTCTTACAGTCTTGAACCTGGAATCCACCACGGCTACTTTATATATTGAAACGCCATAAGAATTTTTCTAGAAAATTGAATCAGAAAATGTTTCGTTAAAAAATTTGGTGTAAACGATTGAAAATTGATAAAAGTATCATTAAAATACTGAGAGGCTCATTATTTCTGGAACATCCGTTATAACAACAATATAAAATTGTATTATGTAATTCATATTGCTGATTCATCTGACTGAAATTAATGACATATGATAGTCAGATTGCATTAAAGAAAATGACTTTGTTATTTTTTAAGATTATATTTATGAACAATGTCTCCAAAAGTCTCCCATAAACAACAGTTTTATAAAAAAAAATATTGATTTTGTTTTTAAACTTATTTCACTTTTCTTCAGGAGGCAAACGCAGTCTCCGGGAGGGCAAAAAGTCCCATGCTCCCTCCCAGACGGATAAAACAATGATATTTTGCCAATTTTCAGTGCGAAATCGTACTCATGTTTGTGATTTGTTTTCTAGAAAATATTTTATACTTACAATTGATTTAATAGATCTTGACTTCTTCTACAAACCTATATATATATATATATATATGATATGTCTCCTTGACTACAATACAGAAGCGAAAATGTCAAATTACAGTATTTTTATCATCTAAAGTTTTCTCCGTTTTCCAGTATGTTGCCCATATATCTTGGTCAAAAATCAATTGCCATAAAAGCTTTTATTTCACTTTGTAGCCCTCGATCAAATGCAACTTGCTCTACAAATCTTCACAAGTAACATTTCTTCTCCATCTCACTAGAGAATCGAAAAACTCGAAATACAATTTTTTTCAGCCTAGAAAGTTTTCTTTTCTTCCAATATCTTGATTAAACATCTATTTCAATAAAACACGTAGTTTGTTATATGTTGAAGTTCTTTTCGAGTTTAACTTTGATTAAAAGCAGAATATATCATTTTAGTTTATGTCAGCAATTATGATTATAACATGGAATCTAGATTTACGTAAGTAAATTATTATTTAATATTGAAAAATTTGCCATATATTTACTAACAATATTGAAACGAATTAGTTTGTGAAAAAATTTAGCCTCTACCATTCTAACATTTGTCGTTATTTATCTATCTATACCGAATAAATATTTGAAGTTACCCATATCCACGGTTGCACCGCTATACTTTCAGATTGTTGTTCCAAAAATCTAACCAACTTTATCTTAGTTCTTGGAACTTTCTTGTCTCCTTGTTGAGAGAAGTTTGCAA